TAATTAAATGTCCGATGATAGATTTATTATAGATGGAACACAGGATACGATCTGTACACAAAATATACTTGAAAGCCGATGCCAGGTTTTCTTTTGACGGCACCCATATTTAATGTGTAATAACTTTTTACCGATTGCAAAATAGCGTATGTTAAAATTAACGTTGCAATGTATGAATCTTGATTCAAAAAATGACTTACTACTTATAGTATTTTTTATGAGCTTACATATTGGACTAGGACAGTGAAAAGGTTGAATTATAATAGTAATAGGGTTAATAATAATAATAATAATAATAATAAAGATTTTAAATAAAATCCCTCACGATGAATTAAAATACATATCTTTTACCACGTCTTAAAAATCTTTCATATTCGTAATAAAAATTCCAAGTAAAAAGTGATCTTTGTTTTGTGTCAGTGTACTCAAAAAACTGGTTGACTATATTGGGGATGCCCACTCAGTGTTAAAAATTCACCGTGTTTGTATTGTTATTTGCACAAAATTAACAATACATGTGCAAAATAATTTGACTCTAATTACATAAATTGCACAATAAACTGCACAAACAAGTATATATGATTTTTTATTATATTTATAGAATCTATAACACTACGTATAATAGTTGTAAAAAAAAACATATATATATATATAAATAAATCTATATTAACGTGCACGTTCTTTCCAAAAATAATAAGCTGATCTCCAATCAAAAAGATCAATGTTATCTGGTGCATTTTCATAAATCATTAGAAGCATATTAAGAGTAGTTGTATTTATTCGATTTCGCATTTTGTTTTTAATTAATTTATGTTGAGAAAAAATACATTCGACATGAGCATTAGAGAAAGGAATAATAAGAATAAGTTTGATAAGTAAAGAAATATTAGGAAATTCATCACAAATATAAGGTTTCGTAGAAAAGATAAAACTCTATTCTTCTATACTATTGAAATCTTGAATAGTTTTCATAATTTCTTTTACTAAGCTCTATTCTTGTTTTAATTCTTGTTTATCAACTAAAGCTGTAATAATTTTTCTATCTTTAGTTGTTTTATCATTGCTGTAAAAATTAGCCAATAATTCAATTTCAGTTTCACCATAATTTGAAAAATCAGAATCATTTCAAAGCAATAAATTAGGTTCGAAAATTTTCATTGCATTATATAAACTTATATTTGGAAAACAAGATTTTAAGCTCTGAATTATTGCTTTTGCAAATTCCATAATCGAAGAAGGAATTTGTGCTAAATCTATAGAATTTTTATCTATATATTCATGTAAAAATGTTCCATATGTTGGTTTAGTATTTTTATTTCCAATAAATTGTATCTTAATTGCTGAAATTGTTATTTCTAGGTTAAACCAAATATTAGAAATAGTAATATAATCTTGTTGAAATAAATTAATTAATTTTGTTAAGATAAACATTAAATCAGTAAGAAATTTTGTAATTAATATAAAATTTGGATCTAAATTATTTAACAATTCTTTAGCCTTTTTTTGATCTTGCTTATTTTCAACTGTTATAATATCATTATTTAATGCATCTTTAACTGAATCAAGAATTTGATGCAAATTTTTAACAGCATTCGACATAGAAAGCCACTGAGTATTAATAATATTAAGTAGATTTAATTGTGGATCATTATTAGTTTCTTGAATCATTCTTAAATTTAACATCCTCTTATATGAACTACTAAAATAATTATAAAGAGATTTGCAAATAGATTCATACTCTTTAAAATAAGGAACTGTTTTAGCTGCATCTTGATCTGCAAGATGTAAACGATGTACTATACAATATACTGATATTATAAAAAGGTTTATATTTTTTAATCATGTAGCAATACTACTTTTAGAACCTATAAAATTATAATATAAATATGATAATTAATAAAATTAAAATAATAATGACAAAGGTAATAAAATATTTTACCTGTCATTATCGAAGCACCATCACTACAAAAATGTGCAATATTTTTAATATGTAAATTCTTTTTCGCTATAAATAATTCTAATTCTTTTATAATACTTTCAGCTCGACAATCTTCTAAATTAATTAATCCCAAATAACGAACTATAGGTATATTAGAAGCTAGGTGGTGTGAAGCAATAACAAGATGTTTTTCATCTATTGAAGTACTTTCATCGATTATTATACTCCAATTGCCTGACAAACAAATTTCATTAATAAGATTTGTTTCAATTACATGCATAATCGCCTCAGCAAAATTTCGAGCTACAGTAGAATTTAAATAAGTACCATAATTCCTAGTCTCAACTAATTCTTGTGAAGAAAATTTAAGTAGCTGAGATATCAAAGAAATAGTATTATGACTTATTATTAAATCACATAGATCAGGATATATATTAAACGAAAGATGTTTTTTTGCTGCAAAATAAACACATTTCATTTGGTAAATAACTTTAAGGTCATTTTCAGATAGTTGTTTTATTGATAAAGGTGCGAATTGCTGTTTGCATTTTGATGTTTTTGATCTTTTTCTTCATGTCTTTTAACAATATCTCTCTTATAAATACTAGTTTCCCGAGTAAAGATATTATCATGTTTTGCCTCCTTACACCATTTACAAAACATTAGCAAGGTTCCATCGATTTTACAATAATCTAACCACTCCCATTCTTTTAACCAAAGAGAAGATGGTTTTAAATTTCGGGATTTTTTTTGATCTGGTTCTTGAGTTTTCAATTCTTTATTAATTTGACGTTTACTGTTATTTTTCATGCTTAAATTTAAGCTACATATTGCAAAATTTTTAATTCACTTTTTATAAAGGTTATACAATTATTACGATGTTATTTTTTTACAATTATTAATGCGATATCTTTTTTAAAAATATAATTATTATGATATTCTTTATTATGACATTCTTTATATAGTTACTATGAAGGTTTTTTTTTAAATATATTATTATGATGTTCTTTACGATATTTTTTATTTCTTTATACATTCTATTATTTGTTTTATAAATATTTACTATTATCGTTATCATTATTGATATTTTTTATTTCTATGCGTAAAAGGTTAGTCTTTTGTGATTAAATAAATGGCGCAGAAATCCGTGCATGCACAACCAATTTTTCGGGGTGCACAAATTTTTTGTGCCGAATTTTCAACACTGCGCCCACTATATAATGTATAGTTCTACGTATCACCTGCTTTTGCTGTGGGCGTTCCTATATATAGATTTGGTTTAATTAGTCGACCAAACACTGGTGTCTCTTGAATTGGTATAACTCTTATCTTGAAGCATGGCAGAATTACCATGTAAGTATTTGTATAGAATATAACTGGACATTCTCACTCTATTGTATTCTCTCATTAAGTAAAAATAAAGGCCATACTGAATTGATCATAAAGATTCAATTTTCGGGCAGACTATTTATTTATTTATTAATATGTCTAAAAATTAAAACTGCTAGTTAAAGCTTAGTTAAAGCTTATGTCGTAACTAGTTACGGCATAATCCTTAACAATTTCTACCGCATCTATAGTCGACATCTATAGTTAGCGGTCTTTAAAGTTATATGTGAGAACCAATTGACTAATTTTGTATGGCCTAAAATATGTTTGTGGACTAAACTGAAATATTCATCTTGGCAAAATTGATTCGCTTTGACAAAATTTTTTTGCTTTTTTGAAAAGCAATTTCGCCTAGCATAAGATATATTTGCAACGAAAACGCTAGAAAATTGGACTAGCTAATAATACTGTATATAACTATTAGATATAAACGGTCAATAATTTTTTTAGAGTAATTGTTCTCTGGCAAACTAAATCATTATCTGATTGTATTTTAATAAGTCAGCTTTTGGGTTCTGAATAAGCCCAGCAATGGCATATTAAAATTTAATACCAGATACGTAGACAAGTTTGTTAGCACGTTGCATTCAATAACAGCATATAGTGACAAGGAACCGGATAATATAAATTTAATGCAGTACACTAATAACATCAATTTTTATATAATATTGCATAGTTGTTACATACTCAAAACGGTTAGAGCAGTACTTGAATGAATCCAATATAAAAACTTTCAGCTATTTGGAATTTAGTAATCATATAATAATTGGGCAAGGAGGATTTGCAGTTGTATATTCGGCCATTTTCCAAGGAAAGAAGTATGCATTAAAAAGTCTAAATAATAATATAATGTTGGATAATAAAGCGTTCAAACAATTTAAAAATGAGGTAAATGCTTATTCTTATTCAGTATTTTTGAATGCTTAATAATATAATGTAATATAATATAATAAATACAATTTGTATAGATTAAAAGCCTTTATAACAATAATGTTAATCATTCTAACATAATCAAGTTATATGGATTCACTAGAGGTAATAATATTTAAGTTGAAAATTTTAGGATTTTGATCATATTTACCTAGCAAAGATTCAATGGATTTTTAGACCCATCAACAGATAACTTCTCTTTAGTGTTGCAGTATGCCAATGGTGGTAATCTACGAGAGCATTTACGAAGAAAACAAAAAGAGGGTATATATAAAATTTCATGGGCTGAGCTTATTAACATTGCTAAAGAAATTGCATCTGGGTTGGCACATTTACACTCCAATGGCATAATTCATCGTGACCTAGTAAGCTTTATCTTTAATTTCTGAACAAAAAATTTTTGAATAATCTTTTAATTGCTGATTAAAAATAACATTAGCATTCTAAGAATATCTTGATGGATGATGGAAAAGTGTTAATAACAGACTTTGGGTTATCGAAGAGATGGAACGATAACACTGCTTCGGATTCAAGTAGTAATATAGTTGGTATAATGGCATATGTTGAACCACAGTGCTTTATTCAAAATAAAGGAAACGTCAAACGTAATGAAAAATCTGACATTTATAGTCTGGGAGTATTGCTCTGGGAACTTACAAGTGGAATTTCTCCATTTAAAAATTATAATTTTGCGTTCTTAAGCCAAGCAATTTTAAGAAATGAGAGAGAGAAAATTATTCCTGGTACACCTCCGGATTATGCCAATCTTTATGAAAAATGCTGGTCATCTGATCCAGAAAAGCGCCCTGCATTAAATGAAATATTGACTACATTTGAAAAACTATCAAGTTTATCTGTTAAATTCATTATAAACAATATTGATGGGGATGACCAACAGTATAAGAATTTATCAGAATATTCGAATTCCTAAGATGTTAGCAGTTTAGGTCAATTGAGTTATGCTGATTGTCAAAATAGAATATTCATGCTCGGCTATTGTTATGAATATGGAATTGGTGTCGAAAAGGATGTGTATAAGGCATTCAAGCACTATCAAGAATCTGCAAATATGAATTATTATCACGGAATATTTCAAGTTGGCTTTTGTTATTATAATGGAATTGGTGTTGAAATGAATAAACACATAGCATTTGAGCATTACTTAAAATTAGCTAAAATGAAAATTTCTATTGGAATTTTTAAAACTGCTATTTGTTATTATTACGGAATTGGTGTGAAAAAGAATTATAAAGAATTTAAAGAATGGAACAAAAAGTATATAATTTTTCAATTTTTCTGTTTTTTTGTAATTTAAATTTCGCTCATACTATTTGATTATCAGGGAGTAAGTAATAGGAACATTATTAATCTACAAATTTATCTGCAATTCGAGTTTATTAATATTTATCTGTTTATTAATTGTTAATTTAGTCCGTGAGTATAAATATAATTTATTAATTAATTAGTGGAATTAAAATCAGCAAATCATGAATATCGATATAAATACTTATCTTTAAAATATTTATCTTTAAATACTTATTTATAATAATTTAATACTGTTCAAATCATTTTAAACATTAATTTAGATTGTGAGTATATTTGTTAGAATTAAAATTAGCAAATCATTAATATAATTACTTGTTTATAAATACCTATACATTGTATCTAAATATTTATTACAATTAATTATCTAATACCTTCAATATTTTTTCAGTTAGTAAGTATAAAGATGTTTTACTACTAATCAGTGGAATTAAATTAGCGAATCATGAATAGGGATGGGTTCGGTCACGAACGGTCATAATTATTCATAGCCAATTTTCTAATTACTGAAAGGATTTTTTACATTTGAGCTTTTAATTAAAGTTGTTCAGAATTAAATTCTGATCATTCCATCTTATAAGTGTAAAGAACGATACCTTCACTGGAACTCGAAATTTCAAATTTTGTACCATCATGACCGGTTATTAACCGTCGGTTAATAACCGGTCATGGCATTAACATCTTTTGAAATTCCGAGTTCCAGTGAAGGTATCGTTCATTACACTTATAAGATAGGATGATCAGAATTTAATTCTGAACAACTTTAATTAAAAGCTCAAAGTAAAAAATCCTTTCAGTAATTAGAAAATTGGTTATGAATAATTATGACCGTTCGTGACCGAACCCATCCCTAATCATGAACATAAATATTTATCTATAAATACTTATCTCTAAATTCTCATTTATTCAGTGAGTGAGTAGTAAGATAATTTGATATAATTAAAATCAATAAATAAATATTAATTCATTATTTAAAATTAATTACATACCTTCAAATTATTTCAATCATATTAATTTAGGTGAGTATAAAGAAAGATGTTTTATTAATCAATAGAATTAAAATCGGAAAATCATAAATATAAATATTTATCCAATACTCTCTAAATCATTTCATTTAGTGTTCGGTGAGTATAAGAGATTATATATTAATCTGTTGAATTAATAATAAAGTATTCATAGATATTTATCTTAAAATAATTATTTAAAATCAATTATCCCTTAAAATATTTCATTCAGTGAGTAAGTATAAAGATGTTTTATTAATTAATTAGCAAATCATTAAAATATTTTTTCTAAATATTTATTTACAATTATCATATCATTTCATTCACATTAATTTAGTCAGTAAGTATAAAGAAAGAAGTTTTATTAATCGGTGGAATTATCATGAACATAAATACTTATCTCTAAATGCTTATTTATAATTAACCCTTCAAATTATTCATTTAGATGGTGAGTAGAATTAAAATCAGCAAATCGTGAACATAAATATTGGATATGGGCGATGGTAAATGAAAATCTGTAAACTGATTCACTGATTTTTACTTTAGCGACCTAGCCCCTGAAAAATTAATTCCACGAGATCAAAAATATACTTGTTTAATTATAACGGTATAACATATTTTGATCAAATATCATTATTGCAGAATCAATTTTTTCAGGTGGCTAAGTTCGTTAAAGTGAAACAGTGAATCAGTTTACAGGATTCATTTACCATCACTCATATTATATATAATAGGTTGGCCGTTATTGATTAATAATCATACCTACACATGGGTGTCTAAATTATTTCTCTTAATAAATATTTATTTCACCAATTAGACTTTTAATTAGTTTTTCTTAGTGGCAAAATTAATTATTTGAGTTCCTTATATCAAAATACATTAAATAGTAAATTATGTTATTTGTGATTCATATAAAAATGCTTAGCAATGGCGAAATGTTTGACAAAATTGCTTTTTTAAAAAATAATTTAGACATCCATGTCTGCTTAATACTATATAATATCCCAATATTTATGCATAATTATTTGTCTCGAAATAATTATTTACAATAAATTACCTAATATTTTCAAATTCATTTAACTCGCATTAATTTAGCCGGTTAGTATTAAGAAAGATAATTTATTATCGGTGGAATTAAAATCAACAAATTATGACTTAAATATTTATTCACAATTAATTATTTACAATTAATTATCTAATACCATTCAAATCATTTCATTCGCTTAATTTAGTCGGTGAGCATAAATATGAATTAAAATTAGCAAGTCATAAACATAAATACTTAATCGTAAATACTTATGTCTAAATACCTTTTTATTTACAATTAATTACCTATGCCTTTCAAATCATTGATTCGCATTAATTTAGTCGGTGAGTATAATTTTAAAAATCAGCAACAGATTTGAAAGAAATAATGATAAAAAAATTATATTTACAAAGGAATCACAAACATGGAAAATGTCAATATTGTAATGAAAATAACACGAATAAAGCATGGTGTCAAACATGTGATCCCGACATGACAATCCAAAAATGGACAAGTAGAAATAGGGATATTGATGACTGTCTGAAAGACTTTCAACTTAGAGCTGTTTCATATGAAGAAGTGATTGAATGGATTCCTTTTGATAGATTAGATAATATTGAAAATATTGGTAAGGGAGGATTTAGTTCTGTATTTTTAGCATTCTGGTTGGATGGTATACGGAAAGCTGATGGTAATAGAAGATCGCGTGAACCTGGAATTGTTGCACTCAAGTCCTTGTCTGGTTCTAATGAAAACCCTCTCGATTTTTTGAAAGAAGTAA